CATAACGACACTAGACAGTCTCACACTTATAACGACACTAGACAATCTCACAAATATAACGACACTAGACTGTCTTACAACTATAACGACACTAGACAGTCTTACAATTTTCAAGACACTAGACAGTCTAACAAAAGTATCGGCACTAGAAAGTCTCACAACTATATTGACACTAGACAGTCTCACAAATATATTGACACTAGACAGTCTCACAACTATAACGACACTAGACAGTCTTACAACTATAACGACACTAGACAGTCTTACAATTTTCAAGACACTAGACAGTCTAACAAAAGTATCGACACTAGAAAGTCTCACAACTATAACGACACTAGACAGTCTCACAAATATATTGACACTAGACAGTCTTACAATTTTCAAGACACTAGACAGTCTCACAAATATATTGACACTAGATAGACTTACAAATATCACGACACTAGACAGTCTCACAACTATAACGACACAACACAGTATCACAACTATAACGACACTAGACAGTCTTACAATTTTCAAGACACTAGACAGTCTAACAAAAGTATCGACACTAGAAAGTCTCACAACTATAACGACACTAGACAGTCTCACAAATATATTGACACTAGACAGTCTTACAATTTTCAAGACACTAGACAGTCTCACAAATATATTGACACTAGACAGTCTTACAAATATCACGACACTAGACAGTCTCACAACTATAACGACACAACACAGTATCACAACTATAACGACACTAGACAGTCTTACAATTTTCAAGACACTAGACAGTCTAACAAAAGTATCGACACTAGAAAGTCTCACAACTATAACGACACTAGACAGTCTCACAACTATATTGACACTAGAAAGTCTCACAACTATAACGACACTAGACAGTCTCACAACTATAACAACACTAGACACTCTCACAAATATAACGACACTAGACAGTCTTACAACTATAACGACACTAGAAAGTCTCAAAACTTAACGACACTAGACAGTCTCACAACTATAACGACACCAAACAGTCTCACAAATATAACAACACTAGACAGTCTAACAATTTTCAAGACACTAGACAGTCTCACAACTATAACGACACCAAACAGTCTCACAAATATAACAACACTAGACAGTCTAACAATTTTCAAGACACTAGACAGTCTCACAACTATAACGATACTAAACAGTCTCACAACTATAACGACACTAGACAGTCTTACAATTTTCAAGACACTAGACAGTCTAAGAAAAGTATCGACACTAGAAAGTCTCACAACTATAACGACACTAGAAAGTCTCAAAACTTAACGACACTAGACAGTCTCACAACTATAACGACACCAAACAGTCTCACAAATATAACAACACTAGACAGTCTAACAATTTTCAAGACACTAGACAGTCTCACAACTATAACGACACCAAACAGTCTCACAAATATAACAACACTAGACAGTCTAACAATTTTCAAGACACTAGACAGTCTCACAACTATAACGACACTAGACAGTCTAACAATTTTCAAGACACTAGACAGTCTCACAACTATAACGACACTAGACAGTCTTACAATTTTCAAGACACTAGACAGTCTAAGAAAAGTATCGACACTAGACAGTCTCACAACTATAACGACACTAGACATTCTTACAACTATAACGACACTAGACATTCTCACAACTATGTTGACACTAGACAGTCTCACAACTATAGCGACACTAGACATTCTCACAACTATAACGACACTAGACAGTCTTACAACTATAGTGACGTTTAACACTAGATGCTATAACGGAAGTCAAGTTTTCCTGTATGTGTGTCTTAGGAAGCCTGTTGGCAATTGGACAAAAACCAATATTCAAAACCACGTGACACTGTTAATGTTTCCGTCGAAAATTAATTCATTTACTTATTACCGGCATTTCACAAACGCTATTTTCCTGATATTGCAAGAGATTACATTTTATTTCATGTTTGAAAAATAAGGCCATTCGGAAGTCCAAAGTGTCTCGTCCCTCCCTCTAAATCTTCAATTTTCATCCCCACTTAAGTTTTATGGTGCAATGCGAATCAATTTATACCATCACGTAATTCCGTGTCATAATTAATGGGTCTGTTAATGAATTAATTAAATTACAGGGGGCGGTTACTAGGTGTAATAGTGGGTGTGTATATACTTATATCCGCCTTCTAAAGCTGCTCATTTTGATTATAACATTTAAAAACAGTCTGGCTTTTTTAGATCGTTCCGAGAAACATATCAATGAGAAAAACAGCTTGTGAAGTACGCATCAAAATTAGATTTAAACATCATCTTGTAACGACGGCAAAAAAAACCGGACCTCCATGAAGGTTGTGTCAAAAACGTAAACTGCTCAGCGAACAAAACACAATCAGGTATTTGCAGAAACGCGCTGTGGTAGGGAATCTCCCGCAGTTTGGAGATTTTCTTCTCTACTTTTCAATGTGCATACACACACGTTATGAACCAAGCATATCTACATATCAGTCCATCAAATCTAATACAGTCTCGAAATAAAAAGAGGGAGAAAAACCAAACCATGAATTCTTTTTCTTTGAAATCCGTATACAAGTCATAAAAAACGTTTCAGAAGATAAAGTCACAACAATGATCTTATAATTGGTGATATATTTACATATATATATATATGGAAAATCATCACTTACCAAGAATTAATTAATATGATGTCTCGTACTCAAAACTAGAGATATAGAGTTTGGATTACACAGCATGATCGCGCGAGAGACCACACTTGTCAACAGGCATGTAAATGACGTGTACATCTCTTTAAGCATACAAATCATATCTTCATTAGTTCACTTTTAACCATTTTTAACTTTGTCCGTCAACACACTAATTTCCTATTAAACAAGTTGGGTGACATTAGAGCCAATTAGGAAAATTCATCCAAAGTCGCGATATTACGAAGTTTTATTATTATTATGTATGTATGTGTATGTAATTTATTTATTTATCTATTTATTTATATATTTATTTATTTGTTTATCTTTTCTTTGCATGGTCCGTGACGATATTTCATATTTGAAATTAGAAAGCAAGCGAAATACAACCAACTTGGCTGGTAAAGGGATCTCGCATTCATGAAAAAATCGTCAGCAAATCCGAAACAAACCAAACATTCAATACCATATACATTTCTTAAATCATATACAATCATATAACTTTTGTTATTTATCAATCATTTCCATGTGACATTCATATTGGCAATAAATGCCAACAAAAAACCATTAAAATGATGTTTATTATTTCACAAATATCTTCATTTTAAAGAAAAGTTAGGCTATTGAAATTGAGCGTTTTTGACAATAATGTCATGAAATGACGAAGACACGGCATTGAAAGTATAGAAAGTGAGTACAAGTATCATGAGGAGTAACGACACCAAGTTGAGGTTTTGTCCCCGTACAAAATATTATCCATTCATTAGATATACCGTCACACTTGAGATTTGAAATTACAGTAAAGGAATAATGAAGATTTACTGTTAAGTCTCCAGAGTCTACATCATTACACTTGTAAAATGAAATTAGGACGTATTGAAATTAAGTTAGGCAAAGTTCGACAACATTTTCTAATATCTAAACCCATACTTGTCAGACGATAAATAACAGTTCTTCAAATGGCCTTCTGTCAATTTACTTTACTTTCTATCACGAAAGAAAATATAGCCATTGAACTGTCTTGGAATTTATAACCGATATAAATGATAGGGCACATCGAAACTGCCTGCCAAGATGTACTTCTAGTACTAACTTAAAATTCCGTATCAAAACAGTTAATAAATAAATATATTGTAAGATACGGATGAAGTTCCCTCTCGTCGTAACGGGTTTTCTTTTTATATAAACATTTTTGAACAGTTGTCGCAAAACTTTCGCCGATGTTGGCTGCGGAGTCAGCGACAACCGTTGAAAATAGACTAGCACTTCTTTAGAAGTTATAGCTGAAGCCACTTATGAACTCAAGTGACCTAGTGGTCTAACCACCAGACATTCTCCTCACCTTCCCAAATATATGACGTGCCATAAGCTATATTTCCTTTCCTAACACTCCTCTATAATCCCTGTGGTATTCATGCTAAGCACATATACTTTCATCGTTACCTTTCACACTTGTGTGTTTCAAAACGATCTAAATCTACCTAACACAACCATTGATGAGATTTTTTTCTGCTATCAGTTCTCCCAAAGGAACCTCTAGACTGACTTATGTTGGTTCATAAAAGCAATAAAAACCATCCGGCGTTTAACAGGGAAAAAATTCTGTAAACGGATAAAGTTATGATGAGGTCGCTTCATTGTCCACGGCCTCCGAGTTACGTCTGCATTGTCTAGGCTCCCGGCGACAATCTCACTCAAGCATTACTGCGACCGGAACACGTCCAAGGCGAGGAATGTGTCATTTACAGCCATTTCTCACTTTCTTTGCATTTTCTAAACAATGCGATATGATACGTCTCGGTAATAGCACAGCCGGGCGGTATTTATGTGAGCAGACTACCATCTCATGAAAAATAATTCATTGAATAATTTCAACAGAATATATCCATTATATATATGTATTATGTATTGGCATAGATCTGCGTTGGACATGAAAGACAGGACATCGATTTGAACAATTATTTCACTGTTTTAATCTGATTGCACTGGCAAAAATTATGAAAGGAGATAGTATTAGATAAATTGTAAATACAACTTATACGCGAAGATCATGTAAGGGTATATAGCATTCAGATAGAAAAAAACAAGACAAGAAAAAAAAGGCTGAGAAACGCAGACGGAAAGATACCCAAAGACAGATTTACACAGAAAAGATTAAAAATGGAGAAACAAAACGAAAAATGAAAAGTCGGTTAAATTTCATTTTAACAAAAGCAATTTCAAGTACCAATTTCTGTACGAGTTGCCTTAGGTCAAGACATATGTCACCCTAACCAGGGAAAGAGAGCGAGACACATCGCTGTAACGAGGGACACTGGGTCGGGTACACGTCGTTTCAACCAAGGAAATTAAGATAGCCGAGCACGTGTTGTCGTCACACACAGAAATATTGCCGTAAAGAGAAAATGACTCAGATGCGTGTTTAGTTTAAGACCTGTCACCTTCACCAGAAAGAAATGTGTTATACACGTGTCACCTTAACCACAGATAAAATGTAAGACACGTGTTGCCGTAACCGCAGAAAGCGAATACGCTGTGTCGACTGAAATACGAAAATAAAATAACTGGGGACGTGTTGCCTGAGTCTCGCAAAGCGAGACACATGTTGCTTTAACCACTGAAAGTACTTAAGAAACGTGTCGTCACAAAGAAGTGAGTTGGGCATGTGCAGAAAAAATCAAGACACGTGTCATCTTTCCAAGAAAATATAGGCTAGACACGTGTCAAAGTAACAAAAGAAAATATGGAAGACACGCATACTTTAATTTGTGAAAATAAACTGAAATAGACAGGTGTCGCTTTCATCTTGGGAAGTATATGAGACACAAGTCGCTTTGAAAAGATAAGTTGATCGAGGCAAATCTTGTTTTGTAAGGAAATATATTTAGGAATGCGTGTAGCTATTTTCTAATAATGTGAGTAAGACAGATTTGACTTTAACAAAAGATATTGATTTTTGCAGGTAGCCTCGAATGCAAATGTAAGATTCATGTCTCCTAAATGAGAAAATGTTTCAGACACATGTCGCTCTAACAACATAACCTATTAAATATGTTGGCAAACCATGTGATAAAAAGGAGCGAATACGACGCGTGTCGCCTTAACATGGGGAAATCATTTCCGGCATTCTAAAATGCAATAAAATCCTGAACGTGTTGCTTTAAAACAAGAGAATGCACTCGTAACATTTCACAGTGACAAGAACAAAAATATAATACGGAAACATTTTCTAGCAGCTTTAGGACGTTTCCCTCGAAGTGTCCTGGTCCGTGTCAATCTAACAGCCTACCGGTGTGGACGTGTACCTTTAAACCTATCCCTGTAGCTGTGAGGATGGGAGTTGCACAGCCTGACGCCGAACATCGACTACAACACGGTGCAAATAGAAAACAGCATGCTATGATTAGCAACAGCAAATGTCAGATCTTCCTTCAATGACGAAGGAGTATACTCTATTGAACAAGAAAAAGATATTTTAAAACATTGTTTCCCATTTTTTCCCCTCTCCTGTTTTCTATATACACTTTACTGATGAAGATAAAGCATAATGTTTCTTTGATAATTCAAAATGTTTTGAACGAATTTGTTTCTCAATACTATTCAGTTATTGACATTTTAAAAGTGAAAGCTCACAGATATTTAGACCACCCATGATACACTATATATGTTCCCTGTGTATATATTCGCCGTCTGTTGTGTAGACTTAACTGATAACTCACAACGATCTTCTGTCGCAATATTATTGACATTTTGATATCGCCATGAGTCTAGTTTAACTATTTGACTTTGATGTACATTTTTAATTTTTTTCCTCTAATGGGTAGGAAATTCTATATATTTCTCCCTAATACACTATTAATATAATCACAACTGATAATGGGAAAGAGACGAATATCGTGGCTATAAAAACAGGAATAATGATTTCATGTGTTCAGTTACACTGACGACGTAGCCACTAATAATAAAATGTCTACAGCTCCTCGCCATCAAGATTTTGACATCTTTTTTCGATAATCATTGATTTTTCTCACTCGCCTCCTAGGCTTCAAACTTTAGGCCCTTCGCATCACTGACGAGTTGTGAAAGGGCGGAACAGCTGAATACCGCAGTTCAATTCTTTATTTCGCGCATTTCTACATAATTCTTAAAATTTATTAATAGGTACCGTTCACTTGTGAGTTTTTCATATAATCTCTCTTTGGTGTTTACACACTATTCAGACTGAAGTGGATGCATCTCATGTTGCTATTAAAATACGAATTTTAAACATTTCAGATAGGAGAAGAAATATGTGTATCGAAATTCTGAAGTAGTTCATTTATACCGTGAAATATGTATACCTCGCCTCCATTTTCAAACTGTATCATGACTCCGCGGTGCGCTCTAGTTACATCATGCATATCTTTTTAAAAAAAAACAGATTATGGTCCATATTGAATTTAATGTTTTTTCTGTTCTTCAAATTTTACTTTGTAACAAAGATAAAACTTATTAATCGTCGCATTTTTTCGTTAATAATTCAAAGCAGCATCTGAATTCTCTTTGGTTCCGTCACAGGGAACATGAAACACACGTTACCCTTAAGTTTTAGACTGTCGACGTACTTGTAATGTTTCTTCGAGTGTGTTCTTCTCGTCCTTGCAGAATGGAATATAGCCACTTTAGTGCAAAGCATGCCAACCCCTTCAGTACATGTCTCTTTAACGAGCAGACAAACCTACCGCGAAGTCACTCGTTTATGTATCGGCCTCCGAAAATACACACCATCATCTTTGTAACGGGTCTATCTGGGTGTATAACACTTTAGGAGGCGTAGTACGTACCTGACAGCTCAGAACCATAGTTTCAACATGATTACCTGAATTTTATTAATCAACATTTATAATAAACACGCGACTTTTTTGTAATAAACATTTGCAAGGTGGTTTCGGTTAAGAAGTGCACAAGTGTAAGGGAGAATCACACAGTGGAGCATTTAGAGGTTTAATTAAATGTAACATAACGGTTTTACAAATGTGAGACATCATTTTCACCGCTGCACGTAGCACTATATTTCATACCCAATAAAAATAATGAAGTTGATGAAAATAAATATACAATTTCATTAAAGTCAGAAATCATGTGTGGCATAATTATTTCAACCACAATGCCTCAAGTTCCCTTAGCGCAAACGTTTTATTATCTATTACATTCAAACTAATGTTATCTCCATTCACTAAAGTCAAGCAGTATATTTCGTCATCAAATCGTCACATCTCAACAATATTGGATATTGAAAGACATGGTATTTCATCGATGAAAACATTTTATTTCACCAATGAAAGACTTACGATTTCATGAATGAAAGACATTATATTTCACCAACTAAATACATTACATTTCACAAATGAAGTACATTATGTTTTACAGATGAAAGACATTATATTTCACATCGTATTTTACCATGTAAAGCATTGTATTTCACTAATGGAAGACATTAGATAAAATTAATACAGGGTTTCATAAATACGGCGTGCGACACTAAAGATAGGGGTATTTGAGGACAACTTACTAGAATGGAAAATTGTAAGAAAAACGGATTTCACGATGTAGAACATTCCATCTCACCAACCTAATACTTTGCATTACATCATGCATGTATGACTTTTTCTATTTCGCCCAAGAAGGACATTTTATTTCACCAATAAGACGTATACCACCGATGTAGAACCTGAGATTTCACTTATTCAATACATTCTATTTCACTTACGTAAACCACATTTCGCAGACGTGGAACTCATAAAAGACTTTTTTCAATAGCCTTGAACAGCCGATCCTAAAAATCAAAACAATCCACATTCTACACCACCAGACTGCATTCCCAAATCATTGAACGCCTTCATTCTTTGGTTAATGGACTTTTACTTGCAAAGAAATAATGACGATAGTACAAAGAAGACATATTTAGATTGATTGAAAATCCGGTTAGCAATAACTTCACTGACTTTGGTGGAAAGATTTACCTACTAACTACTGGCAACCCCATGCGAACTCCGCCCATCTCCTGGCTGTCACGATATGTATTTTCCTACGAGGCCAGATTTGCCGTAAAAAAAATACCTATCAAATCAGTTTCGCAAGACTTCTTCAAGGTTTTGCTATTTCACATACATTGATGATATATTTTCTTTAAAGAACATGAAATATTGAACTCATCAACCTTCTTCAATAACTACTTTCCTCTATCGTTTACCTCCAACGCAACCAACGAGGACAGCCGCTTCCCCAACCTAGGATTCTACATACCGCTGTCGATTCGATGTTCAAAGGCTTGTTAATAATATCCAGATTTACGTCCTTGATGCAGACATTTAAGAGAAAATATATGTTTACACATAATTATTTATCTAAATTTATATACGAACAAAACCGAAACTCGAGATATGCATCAATATGTGGGTGGTCGATTGACCCAGTGGTAACGCTCTCGTCTTTCACCTAGCCGTCCGGGGTTCGATTCCCGGAATGGATGTGAAAAGGTGCGTTGTCACCTGCCGGATCAAATGAGTTTTCCCCAGGTATTCCGGTTTCCTCCCACAGTCCAACCCCTTCGCGCTTCCATCCGAGCCAACAAGGGTGATTAATATAAGCTTTAAATTGTTTTAGGAGTTGTTGTACAATAAATAAAGATTATTTATTTATGACTCCATATAATGAGGAGTTTTTAGGGTCGCCATCATGATCTCATTGCAAATTTACGTCAACGATACGAAGTAAGTTGTTTTCGACGTTCATTAACGATGAATCTTCGGACGTTTACTCCTTCGGAACGCTTGGTTTCATTGTCCTTGTACTTACTCAAGGCCTTCATTTACACGTTTTTCTTTGTTTTGTGTTTGAATTATATTATTATACGTTATAAATCCTACTGCAATATATGATATTTTATCATAGTACACAGATATAGCAATACCTTTCCAAATATTTCGAAAGATGCAGGTTGATGATGGTGAAGCTCTACTGTCGCCATAATGATCATTGAGAAATATCCTATTGTCTTATACGGTATGTTGTTGGGCGTGTTTGGTGTTTGTTAGTGTACCTGTTGGTTTCGTTGTTGTTTACCGTGTTCTCGTTTGAGAACATTACATTACTTACTTGGATTGACCACGATTTACATGGCGGACGTTGTCTATGAAGCGAGAAGACGCTTACTCTTCCGGAACCTGGTCCATTTCGGAAAATCAACCGCGATAAACCACTATACTATAATTAATTTTGTATGTGGATGGATTTTAAAGCGCAAATAGCACGTTAATACCGAACAATACGTAA